CCGGACGCCCGCGCCGCCAGCAGGTGAAAGTCCCCGGGAGCGCCGCGCCCGCCAAGCCCGCCCTGCCCGCACCGCCCTCGGCGGGACCCCGGGAACTTGGGCCGGCCACGCGAAGCCGGGACTCAGCCCTTGCTTCCTTTTGTCCAGTCAGATTCCGACCTGGGGCTGCGAATAGTAACAGCAGCATCGCTTTCTAACCCCCACCTTGTAGGGGACCGTGTTTATTGTTTTATGTTTTACCAGGAAGGCCTAAATCCTGGCTCATTCCCTCTGAGTCCTCTGTGGAGACTCAAGACATAGCCCGCCCAAATGGGGATCTCGAAGGTGCTTTTGTTCCTTTGAGCAGTAGTAACTTTGTGGAATGAGTGGAAAGGGAAAGAAGTTACGCAATTTCTGATGGCTTTAATATTTTAAAGTCTTGTGGAAACGGTGTAGACAGAAAAGGAATATTAATGACAAGGAAATCCAGACGCTTTTAATGTCTCTTTAATGACTACCTCTTGTAACTAAACCCATTGCTGTCCTTTCAATTCGTACTCATGGCGACCCTACATCGGGTTTCCAAAGCAGTAAATCTTTACAAGGGTGGGAGAGACTGCCCATCGAAAGCGACTGGTGGTTTACAACCACCAACGCTTCAGTTAGCAGAGCTACTCAACAGAAATGAAAGTTTAGATAAAATGAACTCCTAAGTTCTTTCTGACCAGCGTGTTATTAGTTGTTTTTGTTGTTGTTGATTCCCGTTGAGTCGAGGTCGACTCATAGCGACTCTATGAACAAAAGATCTAATGCCTTTCCAGAGCTATCGTTGTTTCTCGAAGTTCATAGAGTTTCCAGAGGCATGTGATTTAGGAAGTGGGTGCCACTCCTGCTTCCAAACCTGTTTTACTACTGGGAGCTCAACCAAACATTGTGCACAATTGGAAACCATTACGGCATTTGATATCCCCCTGGCACAAGGTTCAGCATCACAGCAAACCCAGGTTACTTCATACAGCACATTGACAAAGAGTGATGTGCAAAGTGGAAGAAAGCTCCTCCAGATATAACAGCACTAGTCTCAACACAGAGAGAGACCAATTGGCCTAGTGGACAGAAAGCGATGCTACCAAGCCAAAGGTGGGTGATTCAATCCGTGGCCCTAGGGCATGTTTTTCATTGTTTTAGTTCAGTCTTCTAGGTCATATGGCCCTGGCATGTCCACTTGTCATACAGAGGTAACTGGCGGTCGTTGTGAAGCTGAATACTGTGACACTGATGTGTCAAATGTGATAGTGGTTACCCCTGGTGGACAGTGTTTGGTGGCACTCCCCACTTGAAACAAGCTTGGAAGCAGGAGTGGCATCCACTTCCGTAAATAGCTTGCCTCCAGAAACCCTGTGAACCTGGAGAAAGGATGAAAGTCACGCACAAAAGTGTCGAGGACTTTCGTTCATAGTGTCGCCATAAGTCACCTACAATTTGACAGCACTTAACAACAACAGTATTGTCATTTGTTGTTGTTGTTATTGTTGTTGTTGTTGTTGTTATGTGCCATCGAGTCGCCTGAGACTCATAGCGACCCTATGTACAACAGCCCTAAACTCCGCTCTGTCCTGTGCCAATCGCACTGCTTCTGACACTCCCATCCCAATTATCCCAGTCACTGAATCAATCCACCTCATAGAGGGACTTCCTCTCCTGCGCTGTCCCTCCACCCTCCCAAGCATGATGTCGCTCTCCAAGGACCGGTCTCTCCTCACAACATGTCCAAAGTGTGTTAGATGGAGCCTCAGAATCCTTGCCTCCAGGGAGCCACCTGGTTTAACCCTTTCCAGGCCAAATCTGTTTGTTTTCCTAGCAGTCCATGGTATTCTCAATACTCTTCTCCAGCACCACAGCTCAAAGGCATCAATTCTCCTTCTATCCTCCTTGGTCATTGTCCAACTCTCTGATGCATAACAAGTGATTGTGAAGACCATAGCCTGTATCAGATGCACCTTAGTCTCCAGAGAGACACCATTGCTCTTCAGTACTTTGGAAAGGTCCCTAAGAGCAGACTTTCCCATGGCAACGTGCCTTTTAATTTCCTGGCTGCTGGTGCCAAGACTGTTGACTACGGAGCCAAGCAAACTAAAGCTGTGTATAATCTCAATCTCTTCACCATCCATCCTGATGCTGCCAATTGGTCCAGTGGTAAGAATCTTTGTCTTCTTGACATTGAGCCTCAATCCATATTGTAGGCTGCAGTCCTTGACACTCTGCAGCAGGCGCTTCAGGTCCTCTTCAGTTTCAGCAAGCAGAGTTGTGTCATCCGCATAACGCAGGTTGTTGATCAATCGTCCACCAATCTTGACCCCACATTTCTCCTCATAGAGCCCAGCCTCCCGGATAATCTGTTCTGCATATAGGTTGAAAAGGTATGGAGATAGGATGCATCCCTGGCGTACGCCCTTCCCAATTTTGAACCATGCAGTGTTCCCTTGCTCTGTTCTGACGACTGCCTCCTGGTCCAAGTATAAGTTTCGCATTAGAACAATCAAGTGTTCTGGGATTCCCATTCTTCTCAGAGTCAGCCATAGTTTGTTATGATCTACACAGTCAAATGCCTTTGCATAGTCAATGAAACACAGATAGACATTCCTCTGGTATTCCCTGCTTTCAGCATTGTCATTTAGCAATGGTTAATGTTGTCCAGTCGAATATGACTCAGGGTAAGCTTTCCACAAAAGACCTGAACTCTGTTCTATAATTAACGTCATTTCCATACATTTATAAGAGAGTTTGTAGAATTTCCAAGGCATCTAGCTTAGAAAGTGGATACCACTCCTGCTTCCCAACATGAACCAATCTGGAAGCTCGTCTAAACATTGTACATAATGGGTAACCATTATGGTATTTGACAAAACTATAGAACAGCGTTCAGCATCACAGCCACTCCAAGTTGTTCAGTACAGCAAATAGAAAAATGATTGCTGTGTCCTTTAAAGAATATTCATTCTAAAATTAACAAATTTGGCCCGAGGGCCTACAGGATTTTAAAGCCACAGCCTCAAGCAGGCCTTAGTCTAAGGCTCAAGGGCCACCCACTTTTGAGTGGGGAGGAAAGAACAGTAACAGTAACACTCAACAAACACTACCCCACAAACTTCCCTTACATGACTGCCATCAAGATGAGACCACCATCCACGTCGAGATGCTAGCTAGCCAGCCAATTCCTAGAGACCTAAATAAGTACTTAGTAAATGTTTGATCGCTTTGCCTATTGTTACATCGTTTTTACATCAAAGGTTTATGTGGTTTGGGTGGTTTATTTTTAAGTTGCCTGAAAATTTAGAATTAAAAGAGACTGTTTAGAAGAATTGTGATAACCATATAGTCTATTCCTTAGCAGTGCAACTGAAGCAGCCATAGGAATTCCCAGGTTTTGTCTCCTTCATTCAGACACAATAGAATGAAACATGGCCTGATCCTGCAGCATCTTGACACTCACTGCTATTGCAGCTCTTGCATCAATCCAACTCATTAAGAGCCTTCTCTCTGTAAAGTAATTTGCACTTTTCTAAGTACAAAGTGTGATTGATTCAAAATGGCCTGTGCTTGTCCATGTCAGTTCACTGATGCCTAGAATGTCAATCTTTATCATTCCGTTTCCTTTGTGACAACTTTCATTTTTTTCTACATTTATACATTCCACATTCCATGTTCCAATTACTAATGGCTGTTTGCAGCCATTTTTACTCATATTTAAGTGAATTTATATCTGGGATCTATATCTAATACTCTAACTACCCACATTTCTTCACTCATAGGGTTTTCAAAGGCCCATATTTTCAGAAATAGATGGTCAATCCTTCTTTCTAGTTTATTTTAATATAGGAGCTCTGTTGCAACTTCTCTATCATGGGTACCTTCTGGTACCTGAGCCACTGATGTTACAGATTAGAGCACCCCACAAGCTCAACCAATACAGCAGACTGACAGACAAGTGCTGCACTAACAGGAGCAAAAAATAATTCCCAAGTCTATACACATCTAGGGAGTTCTGGTGGCCTAAAGGAAAGGAGCTGCACTACAATCCCAAAGGCATGTGGTTCAAGGCCACCAGCTGCTCCATAAGAGAAGGATGGGCAATCTCCTCCCATGCAATTACGGCCTCTAAAAACCTGCTGGAGAGTCAGTAGTGGGTCAGTTCCAACCCTATGGTACACAACAACAACATACACATCTAAGATAAAAAGTAATTGGCAACATGCAAATCATTCCCCAATAAGCAAAATGACAGATAGGTGCTGTACCTCTAAAAGCAAACCATAAAGACAACCAGGCATACAAATATTATGATGGCAAAAGATACGCTTTTCAGAACACAGTCAAGGTCTGTGGAGGAACAGCAGGATGGGGTCCCAGAAGAAAAGTTAAAAAGATGTAAAATACTTGATGCAGGAGATGAAGGACAACAGCCTTCTGTATGGGTTACATCTCAACATCAAGAAAACAAAGGTCCTCACTATGAGACCAACACTCAACATTGTGATAGATGGAGAAAGGATTGAAGCTGTCAAGTATTTCATCTTGCTTGAATCAACAGTTAATATCTTTAGTACTAGCAGTCAGAAAATCAAAAGACATATTACACTGGGCAAGTCC